AAAAAAAAACCAATAACAACAGCAGAAAGCAAGAACAAAATTAAAATAACAAAAAGAAAGTCACTCACAAAAATGGAAAAGCCTGTAAATAGTTCAAAGTCTGTTTGTTGGCCTTTACAAGTGCTTTCCAGTTGAGTCTGATGTGGTGCCACACTCTGTCTCCCAAGTCTATTTTTGGTATTCCCCTCAGGTTTCCTCAGTCTGCTCCCCCATCTGCTCTGCTGCATGCCCTCAGTGCCTCACCCCAGTGAGATGGGGCCAGATTGTGCACTATTCCCACGCTGTGAATCCCTTATAACATACTAAAATAGGTGCCTAATGCTTCTCCTGCCTCATTTGTGTATCTGCTCAAATACACACATGCACCTGTGCACACAACATGCACACACACACATGCGCCTGTGCACACAAAGATACTTCCATGATAGGCACAGACAGGCAACTGTCAAATTATATAGACACTCTGTCCCCATTAAGAATGTTTCCTCCTTCCCAACTTTGCTCTATACTTCATTATATCTAAATGCTTGTAGAAAAATGGCCTTAATCCCTGACACCTTGCCAGTTCATCAGTCTTCCAAGATTTGGAACATCAATAATGAAGGGAACAGCACTTGAATTAATATTCCACTTGACAAATTGTCGAAGCTTATGTGTTGCTCAGATTTGTCAACAGCAGCTTTCCAGCAAAATGAAAACGGCATTTTGAACTTGATCTATGTAAGACACTGACTTTTGACTATGGGTTATCCTAAGGAATTCATATGTCCCTGGTGTTATTATTTGTTTTACAGGCTGGTATGTCCTTTGGCTGACAGTTGAGCCATAAGGATGAGTTCACTTCCAGGGTTGAAGGGTGTCATCTGAGCAGTTTCACCAGCTTCTTTTGGGCCACCAAGACTAATCTTTTTAATAATTAAAACACAACAAAACACATTTGTTTCTCCTTTTTCTCCCACTCTGCCTAGAACATTCTAATGTGATTTATTTCAGAGCAGCTGGTAGTGGAAGCCAGAGTTCACTGAGTCCTTCTGCTATTCAGGTGGTAGGGCTGAAGCTCACATGAATTGCTTTCTTTCACCTTTTATTTTCTTTGGTCAGAGCCCTGGTGGTGTAGTGGTTACACATTGGGCTGTTATCCTCATGGTGGGCAAGTCAGAACCACCAGCCCACTCTGTGGGAGAAAGATGGGGCTCTCCACCCCAGAAAACAGTTACAGTCTTGGAAACTCAAAGCGGCAGTTCTACCTTGTCCTATAGGGTTGCTGTGAGTTGATGGCAGTGAGGTACTTCGTTTGTTTGTTTGCTTAGGAGAGGGAGGGATCAACAGTTGCACTTTAGATAGTTTTAAGCTTTAAGACGTACTCACCAAAGCAGGAAGTTGAATTTTGTGGTCTTTGTTCTGCCTTGACCTTGATGACCCCAGTCCTGCATCACCCACCTCGCAACTCATTCCCTCAAGATGTTCGGTTATCATTAAGATCTACTCATAATGCTGTCCTCATATACCTACTGCTGAAAAACCAAACCACCAAACTGCCATTGAGTCAATCCTGACTCATAGCAATCCTACAGGACAGCATAAACTGCCCCTGTGGGTTTCTAAGACTTTAACTCTTTAAGGGCACAGACAG